ACCCACACGCTGCAAGAAGTTATAAAATCCAAATGTCAACAGGCACAACTTATTCTACGCGACAAACGTCAGCGCACATATCACGGTGCATTTTCCGAAGACGACGCAAAAGTATATAAAGCAAGTTCCGAGATAGTGATCAATGGACTGTGAAAAAGGCAAATGTAAAGCAGCAACTACACTTGAAAGCCTGGACCTGTCGGATGGGAGGCTTTGCGCTAAAATTTTCTTTTGCGTGTCTTTCTATTTACAGTATAATAATCCCTTTTTCTAACAATAAGTGATAAATTCAGATATATTCACAAAATATCGATCGATTGGCGAAAATATTAATCTTTCCATTCTCATTCAAATTTTTCCATTCTACCATTTCACCCTTACTTCTCATTTCCTCCTTCTCCTCAAAATTTGATCATTACCAAGCCACAATTGTCGTACTGATCAGGTCCAATTGTAGCACCAGAAGGAAATGTATATGGCATCAGGCACCGAAACATTCCAGCTCTACAGCTATAACTTTTACATAAAATAAACATTTACGCCTTTACAGAATTTTTAAATTATGGTTTACTGTACATTTCTCCTCAAAATTTTCCTACAAAATCTTGTGTTTCATCATTATCTCTACTGAAACGTTCATCTTCTAATTATAAACTACAGATCTCCCCCAACGTATAACTGACAGCCAACGGCAGGAAAGAAGCAATGCTACAACGCTGACATATTAAGCGTTCTATAAATAACGCATCTAAAATCAAAGATCTGTGAGAAATGTTTTTCTTAACAATTTGAAATGTATCAATTTAAGCATATGCTGAACACTAATTCCACAAATTCAAAAATAATCGCTAATTCCATATTCAAAAATAATCGCTGATTCCACATAAAAAAAAAATATTCTACATATTCCACATATTCAAAAACGACGCTAATTCCAAATAAAAACATAAAGCAGCTGATACTCCCTTGCGTCTTCCAGCCACATGCACGGGGCGAAAATGTGGTCCATCGTGCTGCCAATCTAGCTTGCTCCCTCGGCTGTTGTTCATCGAATGGCCGAGTTAATCAGTCAGTAGTAATGCTATGAACAATTTGTAATTGTGAGGGAGTAACTTTACAAATATTTCTTGCTTAATGAGTTTGAAATGGGACTGAAACTCATTCCGCCCCCCCCCCCCC